GGGGGGGGTGTTAAACTTGGATCCTTATTTACATTTGACTCTTGGACTTGTGATCTGCTGAACTCAGCCTGGGAGTGGGCTTTGTGTTTTGTCCAGAAGATGGGGAGAGATTTGGGTCTGGCTATGAAACACTTGTCCTTTTCAGCATCTCTGTGTGCCGGAGGGGTAATAGCATCACTCTGTTAAACTCTCTCCCCTCCCCAAGACCTCTCCTGTTGGGTATTGTAAAAATAAAATGCAACAATAATCCAATAGCACGCATTTTTGCTGGTTCAGGGCGGTTTTGCCTCGTCGCCTCCCTGAGTTGTGTTGCCCCGCTTGCCTGTGATTTGTTTTTTTGGTGCATGTGCAGGAGAGAATTCATTGCCGTGACATGATGGTTCCAGGAGGATCCGAAAATAGCTCCGCGCACTCTGCTGCGGTTTTTGATGCAAAGTCGACAGCAGCCCAGGCAGGTATTCCAAAGACAGTGGTAGTGTCTTTACAGGAGAAATAGCTCTTCTCTTCCCACCCTTATGCTCTCTGTGGAGCCATAACATTGAAGAAGGGATGTTGGAGACCTGCTGGAAGTGTCCTGGACTGCCTAAGGAGCCAGCTTTCCTGTCCTCCATCTGTCTCCCCCCCTCTTCCATCTCCATTACATGATGAGAAACTGCTGCACTCTGTCCTTTTCTGGCAGTTCCAAGAGCCACTGAAACTTCAGCGTTGGGACAGAACTTGCTGCATTAAGCAGCAACAGAAAAAAGCTCTGACACATCATCTCTCTCTCCCCACCACATTTCTTACAACTTTCAAGTCTCATCTAGCTTTTTCCTCCAAGAGTGCATTGCCTGCTGTAATTATGCTTGCATACATTATAAACCTTGCATGCTTGGTTAGTAGACTTCCTTGGAGTCTTATTATGCCTTTCGTCATGTCTCTTTTCCCCTCACCATCCAAAGGGCCCTTACTGTCGTCCAACCTCTGTTTTTAAGAACTAAGTATTTTAAGATAAGTCATAAGGTGTGGTGTGATTCCGCTTGAAGGCTGGTGGCGTAAATGGGACCGTTGCTTGGTTTTCTTTTAATCCGAAACATACTCCCTTCCTGGGTTAGCCATGGTGCTGAGGTTTGTGGACGGATCATTTCTTGTCAGTCATGTGGAGACTTTGGGCTCAATGAAATTGTAATCCGAATTAGAGAAAGCCCCTCGAAATCAATGGGAATGAGGTGTTGCTTACAAAAATCCTGTTGACTTTGTTACGTTTGCTCCATTTGGGGCTGACATTCAGTTTAGCCCTTTCCATGTACGTTGAGGGTGGTAGAAGGAAGGAAATCTCCTTGTTATTTGACATGTGACATATGTTGTGTGTTGAACAATTGTATGTGACATTTGTTGTGTGTTGAACAATCCACGGATGGGACAGAGTGTTGTTGTTTTTTGCTTCAATTGCCATTATTTATTAATTAAAAGTGTTTGGTTATTGCGTCTCAACCCATGCTGCTCCCCAGGTGATGCCCAACAGATACATCCTTGAAAAACCATATTAAAACTCATTTAAAAAGCTTTTAAAGAGCCAAACAATTAAAAACAATCCCCGAGCCAAGCCTAAAATGGGTTTTAAGGGCCTGTTCAAGGTGACTGTCAATCTCTTCTCATTCTGCAAATGGCATTTCTTTCCAGCGCTTGCAGGCTGGTGTTGTCTTAATATGTGTGGTTTCTTTTTAGGGTTTGTTTTGCTTGTCTGTTGCAGGTTCTCACAGTGTCCTTCTTTTCCCTCCCTCCTTCTTCTCTCCCACCCTGACAGATGTGCCCTCCTTCCGATGCCATTGCACTGAATGCGTAAGGATTTGCCGCTGAGCCATGTCGCAGATGTTGCACATAGAAATCCCCAACTTCGGGAACACTGTTTTGGGCTCCCTCAACGAACAGAGGCTCCTGGGACTTTACTGTGATGTCTCCATTGTTGTCAAGGGACAAGCTTTCAAGGCTCACCGGGCAGTCCTGGCGGCCAGCAGCCTCTATTTCCGAGACTTGTTTAGCGGGAACAGCAAAAGCGCCTTTGAGCTCCCTGGATCGGTTCCCCCCGCGTGCTTCCAACAGATCCTTTCCTTTTGTTACACGGGGAAGCTGACCATGGCTGCCAGTGAGCAGCTCGTGGTGATGTATACAGCGGGTTTCCTCCAGATCCAACACATCGTGGAGAAAGGGACGGACTTGATGTTCAAAGTCAGCTCTCCCCACTGTGACTCCCAGACCGCTATGACCGAAGACCCCAGCTCGGAACCCCAGAGCCCCTGCAACCAGCTCCAGCCGGCTGCCTATGTCATGTCCCCTTCCATGCCCATCCCGCTCCTCACCCGGGTCAAACACGAAAACCTGGAGCTGCACCCTGCAACTGTGGGGCCACCTTCCTCCAAGAGGTCCGCAGAAGGTGGTCTCCGGGACGGTGCTGGGGGGAACTCGTCCTCTTCTTCCTCTGGCACGACGCCACTCAAATTGTCCCGTGTTTCCTACTATGGAGTGCCCAGCCTCACCACGCTCATCCCCAGCGTCCCGCCAGCTCAGTACTTGCAAGGGGAGCGGACGAGCCCCGGGGCTAGCAGCATTCCTACTACCGACAGTCCGACGTCTTACCACAACGAAGAGGATGAGGAAGATGATGAAGCCTACGACACTATGGCAGAAGAGCAATACGGGCAGATGTACATCAAGTCCACGGGTGGCTATGCAGGTAATAGCTCTGGGACAGGTGCTGTTGCATGCATGCTTAACATCTTTTTGAACCTTCGCCTTTCTAAACCTTTGCCTTTTGTTACTTCCCATTGATTCATGGTCATCCCTGTTTTCAGGTATGTGGTTTTATAGACACACACACACATACATACATACATACATACATACACAGTGGGCCTTCCATATTCCCTGGGGTTAAGGGCATAGCATCCCCATAAAAGTGGAAAATCCACAAATAAAAACCCCCACTATATTTTTTCCCCGGAAAGAACACCTGTCTAGGAATCTCTAGGTCCTCCAGTGTAACTCTGGCCAGCATCCACCATAGAATTATGCTGGAAGACCTACAAATGCTTAGAGAAGTGTTTTCTGTAGAAATCTCTAGGTGCTCCATTGCAGCTCTATGGTCAACTTCCATCAGAGTTGCGCTGGGGGAACCAGAAATTCCTAGAGAGAACATATTCCTAAAATCCATGAATA